TGGTTCATTAAAGGTAAGAAATGAAGAATGTCTCAATAGCCAATAAGAAAAATTGTCTTATTTGATCACGTGATTAGAACACAAATATAACACACTTGTCTTCTTTGAATCCGAAGTCTTCGCATTATAGTCGAGATTTTTCACTGAACATGACTCACCTAGTCCAATGCTAGTCTATAGCCTCTCTATGGTCGTCTAGCTCATTCGTCGAATGATTCCCAAAACAAGATACGCGATACTACAAAGCGCGATGAATTTCAATGGATAGCAACTAAGTTTAGACATGTAATTTTCTATCGCAGCTAAAGTGGAGAGTTCGTAATAGAAACAATGCATTTTGGCTTTGGAATGCACTTTGCAATACTTCACATGTCAAATAGTCTTCAATGTTATTTTGATTTATTACCAATTCGGTCATTCCATTCCAGAGTACAGAAGGGCATTTCTCAGTTCGTTTTCCATTTAATACTTAAATAAGAGTTTGAATTTTGCAGTAAAATTTACCTTACTATAGCAACATCTCCTATGAATCATTTTCATTATGTTTAGGTAACAGTCAAGGGAATCACCAAGAAGATGGATTACTGGGTTTACTAGATGATTACCTTAACCAACAATTACCAGGAAACTTGACCTTAACAATTCAACCAATGCGTCATAATGTCGACATTCAAAGTAAGTGGTAACCTCCTTCGTTACGCAACATTTCTTTTTTTCTTTTTGGTCTCCCGTGAACAGACGAAACCTAAGACAGAGAAAAATCCTTCCCAGTCTCACTCTCTCTCTAACCTGTCCGTCAAGTTGAAATCTAAATCACAAGTGAATGAAAAARCAAACAAGCAAGCAATAATAAGTAAATATGTTGTTGCAGATATTCTTGGCCCCAGWTCACAGTGCAAGGAATRTTGCACGTTTCTCTATGACGGATATGGAAGATGGGTCAATGGGACTTGGGCCCCATTTGTTCCACGTAAGTTTATGAATTAATTCTATTGATTATAGTTCCATAGCTCAGCCAACCCCAGTACGGTTTTGTTGGTGTGTTGACTGATTGGTCAGTATCGATTTGTTGGTTGGCGTATATGTTTTGATTGGTTGGTAGATTGATTTCAGGCTGACGTCACCCCCAGTACGGTTTTGTTGGTGTGTTGACTGATTGGTCAGTATCGATTTGTTGGTTGGCGTATATGTTTTGATTGGTTGGTAGATTGATTTCAGGCTGACGTCACAGCTTGGTTGTTCGGTGTGCCTGACTGTAACACTGGTGTATTGGTTATGTACGACGTCGTTAAACATCTCTTAATAATGTCATTTGCTTTGGTTGTTAGTAACTAATAATTTAACTGGGATGTGATCTTGTAACAGCAATATGCAACAGTAGCACAAACTACGCAAAACCTACTGGTACAATAATATCGTATGGCGATTCAATGGCACTTCGATTTGGAAATTCCATGGCCAGGAACAAAAATATTCGTAAAGTCTACCAAAGATCTACATATCGATATAACTGGATCTATCCCAAAGAAAAGGTTTGACGGTCATGTACTTCTGTTAAGGTTGTCACATCAACTTTCGATTCATGATCTGTTTTTGTTTTCTCACTTTAAGAAACTAAAAAACGACGATTTAGATTTGGATATTGATCGAGTCGTGTCACATATACAACATTGGCTTACATTATGTTGTGACTGTCAACTTCAGCTCATATCAGATTCTKTTAGAAAAGGTTCTTGATTTACTTTTTGTCAATCAAACTCTGCAAAATAAAGACAAGCTACAACCCAGATACAAAACCCCGGTTATTTGGAAAACTACTACTCAATTAAAGAGAGAAAACTTTGAAATGCCTAATCGTACTTRTGGTCGATTTCTCTCTACTYAGGTGAGTCGGGCGAGGGTTTCTTTAGCTARTTTAGAAAGCGCAACATGGGTGGATCCAGGATTTTTGAAAGCATTTCAATGCTATTTTAAATTATTGACTTTTCAGAGAGTCCTTCTTTACAATGCATATGCAACATGGAGAATGTGTAGAGCTGGGATTCCTGTGCTTGACGTTTTACCAGTAACTCTGTCATATCCTCCTGGACCAATTGATGTCGTACATTACCCAGATCATGTTTTCAAGCAAGCTGAGGACGCCTTGGCTGATTTCAAAAGATTTCACAACAACAAAAGCAATCGACTGATAAGAACTTGTTTCATCTAAATTCCATTCAAATAGATTATATTTTTAACCTTCATGCTGAAGGGTAAAGTCATTCTTTTTAACAAGACCGTGAAATGACACTTGAAAGAATTAAAATTGGGAATCCTGTAGATGRTCSCAAATAGATCCCTGGCTGCATGCCAGTAGTGATCCCTGAGCCTATATATGGTTTGTGATCTCTATCCCGAGAGTAAGATCATTGATCCCGGTTACCATAGCAATGTCAGGTGTGTTTTAGTGGAGAAATGACATTTCTATGTAAACATTAGAGAATTTCCACTTTTAAAATTTAAATCAATATATTAAAGAACACGGGACAATTGGAACATTGGAAATTCCCTTTTGTCTAGACAACATTTTCAAGATTGGMTGTWTGCAGCAAMAAAGAAACAAAGATTAAGTCGATTTAAAACCCCAATTACACGACATTTTAATTGCATTTGATGATGACATAATTACTAGAGCTATGAGCATGACCCATGCACAAAATGCATTATAGTCCTGCTGCTAATGGCCATAATTGTTCATGTTGTGATAAAAGCATGAAACTTGGCCAGATTACTAAGTTCACCTATGGGATTATTTTGTGATATGCGGCCACGCAAAATATCTACCCAAAACAAAGAACTGCGCATGCCTTAAAATGGCCGTGCGTGAAACGAGTCTGGATGTTTTATCCACATTAAATTGCTATCTAGTAGTCTTCATTTGAGTTGAATGATTGGAAAGTGCTTATAATACAGTGATACATCTGTTTGCAACATAATAGCGATAAAAAGTGATTGGTCACGTGACTAGCTGATTTACGTATAGAGAAAATAAAGTCCGTAAGTGGTCATTTTGTTAAGAAGGCTTATTTTTACAGCATTTTTTCTGTTTTGGGTAGATATTTTGCGTGGCCCCATATCACAAAATAAAGTTTCATGTTTCATGCTTTTATCACAAAACGAACAATTAGCCCTTTCCGTTTTGTTTTCTTTTCACTAGTGGTCACAAAACAAAAGAAATCAGCCCRCTTTAGAGTCAYTTTCATCCGTCTGTGAAAGAATTACTACTAGTCARTGTTTAATAGTAACTATTAGGGTGTATTAGGCTACCAAAAGGCAAAATCAAAACCGTTTTTGCTTATGATTTCTCRMGTATGTCACAAGTTAAACTATTGGGRGCTGATAGARGGTATAGWATYTAATAGTACAATTCCTAGTATTTCACTGACGGATGAAAAGGACTCTGGTACTAWAGCTTCAGTCAACAATTGCAGGAATAATTATCAATGTAACTGAGCAACAGAGACGCATGCTCACACATCTACACGATCTGGTATCCATTGGATTCTTAAATTTAAAGGTAAACATTCCACTTCTGATTTCAAAGTAGTGAAAATTACCATATAACAATTAACATATTCTTGTTAGTAAAAAATCCAACGACAGCCTGAGGTAGGTAATATGGATTCATTTCTTTTTAATACTTTGGCATTTTTAAGTCGCTGCGCTTTAAATCAAGTCCGCAGGCTCGCGCTATATCCTTTCATCATCGTTCATTTTAACCTGATATAACTATACTTTGTGCCGAGCTGAATAGGATTTAACAGGTTTTGCACTTTGAATACGCCTTCATTAAAAGTGCATGACTCTCTTTTTATTCTCTTTTAAAACATCTATACTATAGATAGACAGCTAGACTGATCTGCCCAGTTTACTTAATACCCTTTGAGCTTTAAAGCAGAACTAAACGTCAGGCAGACGAAAAATCTCAAGGGCCGTGCTTGAAACTAAACAAAATTGTCGAACAGCATTATTTCGGTCTTTATTGCATTTCCTTAATTGTATTTATTGAAATTAAAATAGTTGTTCCGATGATTTTTTTACAAAAAATACCGACTTCAGTCTACGTTTAGTTCTGCCTGACCTTTAGACACCACGTATAAAGTAACCTGGACACGGTGTGTTACACGAAGTGATCCTCGTTGTTTTTATTCTTTAATTTCTAGATCACAAATTCTAGATTCTAAATTCATCCGTTTCAGTTGTTATTTTCTAGATCACATCACAAACGATGAAATTTTTAATTAAAATTACAAAGAGATGGCCTAAGGTAAGTTTGCTTCCTAGGAAACGTCTTGCTGTCTGACTACGGAGTCTACTTGTACAATTCTAGAATGAGTCGTGCTGCACAGTGGCGTAACTTGTTTTCCTACTAGTAATGAAAATAGAAACGTTATCAAGACACTTTCTCATTACACGTTATTCCGTGGGAAAGCTGCTATTACTCTTAGAACTGTCATAGGTCTCATAGCTGGATAAGGTCTCGTTCTCCCTACAGCGTGATTTGTTTCTCGGGTAAATGCACGCTCGCGCGAATATCTATCTTTCTATATCATACAACAATAAAGGATTCTCCACTGTATTCAAATTAATCAAATCATTTTAATCGTGCAGACATGAAAAGATACCAGTCACCTCACACCCAGCCATTTCTATTTCTAGGCCAAGATGCTGCTCTCAAGGTCCTTGCTGAAGTTTTTTTTTCGATGTTTAATTATAATCGGAATAATATCCATTCTTTTATCTAGCTATGAGGTATTTTATGAATTTCAAAAATTGTTTCCGCGAATTACCAAAAGTTCCATCAGCGTTGAAGAGGAAGCTATGAGGTATTTTATGAATTTCAAAAATTGTTTCCGCGAATTACCAAAAGTTCCATCAGCGTTGAAGAGGAAATTGAAGATCACTTTCGGCTCCACTGGCGTCGAGAAAGAAAAGCGCGCACTGCCTGGCGGGATATTATAAAACCGTGTTTCCACAATATGGAATGGGGTCAAGTGAAACCTGGATGGGACAAGAATCAACGAAGCGACGCCTCCATGAGCTCAATCATCATT